GATATAAAAAAAGGTAGATGGTGTCCTCAATGTGCAGGAAATGCTAGACTTAATATTGATATTGCTAAAAAAATTGCATTTAAAAAAGGTTGTATTTGCCTTTCTAAAAAATATATAAATAGTTATACACTACTTTTCTGGCAATGTGCAAAAAAACATGAATGGCAAGCTCCTTTAGAAAGAATAAAAAATCAATATTCTTGGTGCCCTAAATGTGTAATAGATACTTGAAAAGTTGGTTTAGATTTAGCTAAAAATATAGCTCGATCTAGAAATGGTGAATGTTTATCAGATGAATATATTAACATTTATACTCCATTACAATGGAAATGTTATCAAAAACATATTTGATATGCAAATTTAAATTCAATAAAAAATCAAAATTCATGGTATTCTCAATGTGTAGGATGTTTTAAACTTAATATTAATATTGCTAAAGAAATTGCGCTTAAAAAAGGTGGAAAATGTTTATTAGAAAAATATATTGATATAGATTCTTCACTATTATGGGAATGTAATGAGGGCCATCAATGACATACAAATCTTAAATATATAAGGAATTTGGATACGTGGTATCCTCACTGTTCAGGTAATGCAAAACTTTCTATTGAGATAGCTAGAAATATTGTGACTAAAAATAAGGGATTATGTCTTTCTGAAACGTACAATGGTGCACATACAAAGTTAAAATGGCAGTGTGAAAAAAAGCATGAATGGTATACAACTTTGGATAGAATAAAAAATGCAGGTACATGGTGTCCATTTTGTCCATGGAAGAGACAAGAACTTTGTAAAGAAATAGTAATGAAATTATTAGGCCTACCATCTGATATACATAGACCATATTTCTTAAAAACGTATGATCATCCATTAGGACTTGAACTTGATATATATTATCCACAATATGGTTTTGCTATCGAAGTTCAAGGTATACAACATGAATGTTTTCATGCTTTCTTTCATAAAAACCAAAATAATTTTGAAAACAATTTGCACAAGATTAACTAAAAAAAGAGCTTTGCAATAAGAATCAAATAATACTTTTTGAAGTATGGTATTATGAAGACCCTTATATAGTGATCCCTCATCGTCTTAAAAAGCTGAATCTTATCTTTTAATTAGTACTATTAATTATTTTTTTGAATTGTCTCCCCAATGGGTGCTCACGAATTAAGTTTCTAAAGTGATGATAAGAAGTCTTCTGTCTCTTCGTCAACTTGTTCTTCAGTATTGAAATAATCTTTGGCTAATTTATAGTATAATTTATATAGATCTATTACAGCATTAAGAATTTTTGGATCTTTTCCATACCAAGATTTATAGTCATCAATAATACTATGATATTTATCCTTAACTGGGAATAATCTTTTTGCATTTTCTAGGATATATGCATCAGGATCTTTTGCCTGACGTAATTTTTTTACTTGCTCTTTATATCTTTGCATGAATTTGCCATCCTTTGGTTTTTTATAATATATTCCTGCTTTGACTACATTTATTAATGCCTTCTCGACTTCTTAGAAGGTGGGCTTTGTTTCAGGTAATTGAATTTATGTACTCATTATGTATAAAGTATATCTGCCATTCACTTTTTTATATTGCAGATAATTTTGTTTAATTAAATTTTTTCATTCCTATTGTAAATGATGGCATCTTATACTTGCGACTATCTTTATAACTCTAGCAAGACTTGTGGTAAAGCCTTGCACTCATCCTAAGGGATGCTGACTGCATTTTAAAACTAGGAAGCGATGGCTATGCTCTGAATGTGGTAAGCATACTACTACAGCTTGTAGACAGTGTGCTGAACATATTAAAGGATATTATGTAATGCAATATTATAATAAATTGCGGGATAAGACTCATAGATTAGACTTGATAAAAGATGCGACTTAGAGGTTAGACTTAAGGTAAGATTTAGAATAAGATATGCATTTTATGCTTCTTTTAGCTTTTCATTCTGATTTTTTCCGCCCACTTATTATCACCCATATTTGCCTCATATATAGCATACATAAAAATATGGTAGCATATGGTCGAAATGATATAGCATTTATATTCACTTCGCCCTAAAGGGCTCGCTCATATTCCTGCTATCTAATTTCTCCTGTCGAATGCGTATTCACTGGCGTCGCTCTAAAGGGCTTTGCCAGCTCATACTTATTCTCCTATATCGAATGCGAATTCATCATCGCTCCACTTCTCCTTATGCTTGTTCTCTCTTGCTACCTAAGCAGTATGCTATTAGGAGGTGATTTGCTTACGATTTGCCTACTTATTATCACCCATATTTGCCTCATATATAGCATACATTAAAATATGGTAGCATATGATCGAAATGATATAGCATCCATATTTGCTTCGCTTTAAAGGGCTCGCTCATATTCCTGCTATATCATTTCTCCTGTCGAATGCGTATTCACTGGCGTCACCCTAAAAAGCTTTGCTAGCTCATACTTATTCTCCTAAATCGAACGTGCATTCATCATCACTCCACTCCTCCTCATGCTTATTCTCTCTTGCTACCTAAGCAGTATGCTATTAGGAGACGATTTGTTTACTATTTGCCTACTTATTATCACCCATATTTGCCTCATATATAGCATACATTAAAATATAGTAGCATATGATCGAAACGATATAGCATTCATATTCGCTTCACCTTAAAGGGCTCGCTCATATTCCTGCTATATCATTTCTCCTGTCGAATGCGTATTTGATGGCTTCGCTCTAAAGGGCTTTGCTAACTCATACTTATTCTTCTATATCGAACGCGCATTTGTCATCACTCCACTCCTCCTCATGCTTGTTTTCTCTTGCTACCTAAGCAGTATGCTATTGGGAGACAATTTGATTATAATGTATGCGAAAAATTTATGGTGAGACTTGATAAAAGGTGTGACTTAAAGGTGTGATTTTGAGGTAAAACTTAGAGATAAGACTTGGCATGTATATCTTAGTGGTGTGATTTAGAGGTGAGACTTAGAATATAGTATGCATTTTCGGCTTGCATGATCGAGCCTAACTCAAATCACGTCACTTAATTCCTTGATTTTCGCTGGGCCTCTAGAGGCAAGCAGAATAGTATAAAAGTTATTATTTATATTGGGTTTGCAATGTCGGGCTCAGCTCAAATCGCATCACTTTGTTCCTTGATTTTCATTGGGCTCTCCTGAGGCAAACAGAATAGTAAAAATTTTTGTTATATTATTTGGGATTAAAATCAGGCTAGAATGGTTATATCAAACAGTATAATTCTTGGTATCAGACAGGTTAATTCCTAGCCAAGTTCGATAACATTATTTATATTTGAGTCAAAAAAGCGCTAGAGCTTTGAATTTGATATTGGAAATGATATAAGAAACTGGGTTCATAGACGAATTTGGAGTTTACACCAGAAACTCCTTTTTGGCCTATATATATGCTTTTTTTTTAAATTAAATAGAATAAAATTTTAATTTAATTAAATACTATAATGAATTTGATTTGTCTTTTTATTGGTTAAATTTCGCTCTGGACTTGTCTAACGGTTCCCATTCCCTAGTTTTACTTTATATTATTCTTAAATATAAGTTAAAGTTTTTAATCATTAATTTAACTTTAATATGTAATTTAAATGTATATAATTATAGGCAAATTTACTTGCAAATTTAATTAATTTTTAACATTAATTTTTACTAATTAATCTACAGTTTTTTTTTGATTTTACTTAAAATAACTTATGATATTTATTATAAAATACTAAATTTACAAAAAAGCTTTACTTTAAAAATTTTTGTTAAAGAGAAATTTTTAGTATTATTAAAAATACTAAAATTTTGATAAATTTCTTTAATAAAATTGGTTTAAAATGTATTATATTTAAAAATAATATTTTAGAATAAAATATATGATATATTCTAAATAAATATTAAAAAAAAAATTTAGGTTAATTAGTAAAATTTTGAATTAAAAATTAATCAAGTTTGTAAAATTACAAACAAATTTGCTTGCAATTTAAATCAATTTTAATTAATCTTCACTTCAAACTTTTACTAATCCATCTAAATTATTTTTTGATATTTATTTAGAAGCCATCAAAGACCAATTAAAAACTTTTAAAAAATATAATATTTTCATGTGACATTTTCCAATAATTAGGCTGAGAAAAGAAACAGAAAATTTGATTTTTAAAAAAAAAAACATTTCTACTCAATTATTTAAAATTATTTTAAGGTAAATGGAAAAATAATAAGGATTGGTAAAATTAAATTCTACAGATTCTGCAGTATATTATTTATTAAAAAAATAATAATAATAAAAATAATGCTTTAATAGCGAGACTAACATTTTATTAAATAAAATAATTAAATAACTCATTTTATTAGATATTAATTTGAGCCTGAGTCACTATCAAAATAAAAAAATATTTATGATTAAATATTCAAATATTATTAATGGATTGACAAAAATATTAATAAACGATTGGCTCAGATGTCAGATGATCCTTTTTTTTTGGCGATCAATTATTAATTTTCAAAATTGCAGGCAAATTTGCCTGCAAAACTATTAAGGGGATAATATAAATATATAATTATATAAATGTATAAATTAAAATTATCATAGATTCATACATTTAGTTTTTTGTTTAATGCATATTTTTGTTATAGCTATATAATTAGTTTACTTTTCTATCTTCGAAAGAGTTCTTTCAATTACAACTCTATTTCTACTCTATTTATTTTTAATAGTTTTTTCCAAAATCTATAACTCGTAAAGAATTAAGCTTTTACATCATTTAAAAACCAAATTTTTTTCTATCTTTTGTTTTTTTTAAAAAATGTAATATATATTTCATTAGCAATTTCTTTAATTCCTACACTAAATAACTCTATTTTAAAATTATATTTGTTTTAATTAATGATCTAACCTCCTCTATACTTGCTGAATTAGAATTTTTTCAATATGAAATTTTTTCAGTTCTTAATAAAGAAGTTAAATTGAAACTGGAAGAATTTAGTTCAAAAAAAAATGGTAATAAGTGCTAAACATTCACTTCTAAATAGTTTTTTTTTTTGATATTTAATTCATGAAGCAAAAGTATTGAACTTCTCACTAGTTTTTTTATCAAAACATAATAGCTTTGTCTTTTTTATCATAAGTCAGGAACCCTCTACATATTGTGCTTTTTTAACAAAGAAAAAAACCAATTTGCCAATAAATTCTGAGTAAAGATGGTATGTTTCTTGAAGAGCCTCAGGATGCTTTTTTTTGTAGCTTGTAAGTTGGTTTGATCATTCAATATACGTTTCTAAGACATAATAAAACTTTAAATTAAAAAATATTTGGTTAAAAATGCTGATGAAGGTTTGTCTATTTGCAGAAACGTTTAATTGAATTTTAAAAACCTAAACATCATAGGAACGATCTAACAAATATCACATTTTAAAGGACTATATATTTATTTAATTTGTTCGCTAATCATTGCTATTTTTATAATAACATATAGTTAGGACAGTTATGTTAATTAAAAACTTCTTGTGTAACCATCTAGTTAGCCCCTCGGTAATATACACTAAACTAATACACTAAAAATGAGATGATAAATAAATAGTCATAAAGTAAAGGAAATATAAAAAAAAAAAAAGGTTACAGTCTATTTATGACACTTTTTATTTAGTTGATAAATAAGTACTGTATCATATGAAATTACTGAATAAAACAAAAATAATCTAATGATATGATAACCAAATTTTGTGAAACTAATCTTAAGTTACTTCGTTCTGGATTCATACGTTTCACAACTTATTCATATACATAATACATTCATCAATAAACTATCGCTTGTATTAATTTCTTAACATACATAAATATAATAAATTATCCGATTTTATTAGTAACTGGTGTTTTATATTATGGCTAAACTTAATTTTTTTTTTGAAATGATAAATACCAGATAGAATTAACAAAATAAATATTTTTTTTAAAAAGATTAAACCACTCAACCATATCCACAACTGTAGGATTTAATTATATATATCCCCCCCACATCCTAAATTATTTTTGATCGTGCCTGGCACAGCAGATGAAGACAATAACATCACACAATTAATGTCAAGCTCACATAATACTCAAGGTGGCAACGGTTCATCAAATTTTAATGATATACATACAATACGTTTCAGCTTCCAGTGAAAGCACCTTTCCTCAAGAAACGTTATTTTATTACAGGCCAAATAACGATTTTCAAATCGATCTTGTTTATTGTAAAGAAATAGCCTTAAATGAACTTATAACAGAATTGTCTTATAATTATCTTTATTCAAATGAAATTTTCGTGTTTTATTTTCAACATCCATATAATCAAAGGATTTATCATGTGGCTTGTGAAATGATTTCACATTCGGCTATAGTTCAGCATTTAAACTTGAATGTTTTTGGAATCGATTTGAGTCAAAGTGATCAGCAACCACCTTTGGAGACCATAAACGTAACCTTGAATTTCACTTGAGATAATCACTTAGAGATTATTTGGCACCTAATATGAATGATGGAAATGAAAACAGAATTAGTTAATACACTTCAATCAAACGTAACAGATAATAACCGATCCCAGCAAGAAAATATTAATTAATTGGTTTAATCAAAATAAATATCTTTTATAAAGAATTTACGGTATTTACAGTATATATTAAACTTGTTTTATTTTCAAAAATTATATTTTTATTTACATTGTTATTGAATGGGTCATATTAAAAAATAACTTTGTTAAATAAAATGAACAATTCATTTTTATTAGAAGAGATCATCGAACTGCAATATATCATCATAAGTTTCGGGAAAATTTGACCCTAATTCGATGATCAAACATTATATAGCAAAGCAATTTTCATTAGTAATAAAAATGTCGTGCTCACTTTAAGTCAAAATTATGTCTAGACAACGAATAAATTTTTTATTTTAAATATTAAGAAATAAGTTTTTCCGCAAACAAGTTTTTATTTGGACCAAAAAAGAAGAGAGAATTTAAAAGATTCCTGTGTCGGCTTTTGGAATTTTTTTCCATAAATTTTTTTTTTTTTGCTTCATTATAATTATGTGTTTTCCATAAATATAGTTTTTATCAGGTATTCTCAAAGAAATTTTATATTTTGTTCAAAAGTCCACCATATTTAAGACATTAAAAAATTTTTTTTTTAAAATTTCAATTGCTAATACAATAATTCCGTTACACCACATCACAAAAGAAAAAAAGATCCCAACCGCCATACTTTAAAATAAATTTTTTCGTTTGTATTACTGTAAGCTTAATTTTTAGTAGGTAATCTAAAAATTTAGTAATTTAAGTTACCAAAATATAAATATTTTTTCAATAATAAAACAAAAATTTAAAAACATTAGATAAAATGAAACTTCCTGCTTCTATTATTAAGAAAAATTTCTTTTCAAATTATTTGTATTAGCCATTTTAAAATTTTCAAATTAAAATCAATTAATAAAATATTCATTGTTCCGAAGATGGCTAAGGACGATTAGGACCCATTTTTATTGACATATACGTATATCAAAATTTGCTTGCAGGAAAAGCTATAATATCAAGATATTTTATGAAAAATTGACAGATCTTAAATAGAAATTATAGAAATTAAATAAGAAAGAAAAGTTGATGCCAATAGAATTCGAACGTTTTAAAAAATAATCACATTATCTGTTTAATTATCGAGAGGGGTTGGGAATAAAAAAAAAATCTGATTCAAAAATTGGGAAGAGAATGAGAAAGCCTGTATAAACCTATATTATTGAGATTTCATTAAAATTTTTTTTGTAAAACGCTATTCATTACATTTATAAGTTCAGAAAACGTAAAGTTGCTATATAACGGGTCGGAATAATAATCAAAGATGAATAAGGATTATCATATAATATTTATCATTTTCAAACCATCCTCTGGGGGTATGCTCCTGGAATGGGCGGGCGTGGTTTGGACGGGAAAATGGCAATTTTAATGTACAAATCAAATCTTTCCATGAGGTCCAGCAGAAACATATAATTCCCTTTTTAATGGATATACTGTAGTTAATGTTGGTAATGAAACTGTTCAAAAGCAAATTAATTTTATGGCTAATTTTTACATAAAATATTTTGATATTATGACTTTTCTTGCAAATAAATTTTGACATACGGCCACATCGATGTAAATGAGTCCATAATGTTTTGAATTAAATAATATTGCAATATCAGCCCATCTTGACAAGTCATTGACTTTCGACATGTTAAAGTTATTTTAAATTCTTAGAGGTTTTGAAAATACGAAAATTTGATTTTACTACTCCTTTTATAACTTTTACAATATTGTAATATCATTTGTGATAAAATGATTTTTAGCCCATCCTTTTCTTTGTTTATATTTTCCTTTTTAATCTTTTGATTTAAATAATTTACATAATTTAATGCGCTTAGTGTTGATTATATAACAGAGAAAAAATTTTTTTGAAAGTTGTGCAACAATTATTGAAAAAATCACGTGCCGTACATATCTTTCAACTGTTCAGTTACTTGTATCAAATTCAATATTCAAGGATCGTCAATGCGTAAGCCTTCTATTGTAATTGCACATCAATATCAAATGATAAACCATCAAAAATAAAGTTTTAAATGTAACACTTGTTAACAATATAAAATAAAAAATAAAATAAAGATTGGCCAAGGGATTTAATCTTTAGACCTCTACTTATTTTCGCAGTAATTACCCTTAAAATGGAGGGTGTAAAAAATATTTATTAATGTCTGTGAGCAACGCCATGCAAAAAGTCATCCCACTTTGCAAGTTCAACATCAATTGTTTATAATGGCTGAATCTTGTCCTTATCAAGATAAAGTATTTATTATAAGTTATCGAATTCATCCAATTGAAAATTAATTTGCTTGATGGAATTTTCAAGAATTCAATTTGTGTTTTCACATTTTGAAGGTTATAAATAAAAATGTTTGTACCGCGTAAACAGAGATGTTAAATGAAAATCACTTGTAGCATAGCATTACATTATTATTTTTCAGATTGTTGATCACAAAACATTTTACTTTTAAAGAGAAAATTTTTTTAATATAGACTTCTAAATAAATATATAACCTTCCATGTGAAATAGTTTCACAAGCATATATTCTATGATCTCAAAAGATTTGAACATGAAAGGAAGAATTGAAATAAATATAATTATTTAATATAATTTTCGACTTTTTGCAAAGGAGAATAATAATGAGGGTGGGGCAAAATCAGTTAAAGTAGGGAGAATTAAAGGTAATTCTTTTTCAGATAAAAGTTCTTTTTGGTGGTTTTCTCAGTGAATAACTGGAATTGGCTCTCCTCAATATCTTTGCCGAGAAAAAACTCAGTCTTTTAGATGATAAATTACGGTTTTTCTACCTGCTCCTTTTTTTTCTAATTCTTGGTTAATAATTTCTATGGCTTCATTTTAATCCTTTTTGATAAGTAGGAAACTAGTTTTAGAACAATGGCAAAAACCAGTTCCGTAATCAGCCCAACCCATTTTCTTAGGGCGTCGACAGTTCAAGCAAAGATAAGTCTCATGATAATACCAATTATTTCTTTCCCCTCGGTAATCTTTTTGATATAAACCTATAACTCCTACACTCAATAACTCATATTTTTTAGCAAAGGTGAAATCAATTTCTTTGTTTTGTTTTTTTTCTTGCTCGCTAAATATTTTTTCTGGTTCTAAAACTTCTTTATCTCAAGTTTGCTCATCAGAAAAATAAGGAGCAATCATAACTGCCCCAGTTCCATAATCACTAATAAAATTAGTTATCCAAACCGGTATTTTTTCGTTATTTAATGGATTTAGACAATAACTACCGGTAAACTCACCAACAACTTCTTTATTTTCTTTTTTATCTTTCCAGTATTCGCAAAAATCATTCACTTTTTTTTGATATTCCGGTAAAACAATTTCTGAAATTAAGGAGTGGTTAATTGATAAAGCAATCGCTACCACTCCAAAAATAGTATCTGGGCGAGTAGTAAAAACCGGTATAGTTATTTTTTTTTCTACTACTGAAAAATCAATAATCGTCCCTTTTGATAAACCAATTCAATTAGTTTGTAAACTTTTAATAATACTATTTGGTCAGTCTAATTGCTCTAAGTCTTTTATAATTGCGGAGCGTATTGAGTAATTTTTAAAACTCATTGGGGTATTTTTTTTTCTATTACGAAGTAATTGCCACGTTCAGAAACCTTTTTCCCTCTACATTTTTAATTACTCTTTACAATAGATAATAAATTTATTTTGGCTTGTAAAAAATACAGTTCTTGGTGTTAGGATACTCTCATTAGAAGTTGCATGTGTTGTGTTTATATTTACAAACCGTTGCAATTTGAATATTATGAAGCAGAAATTAAGAAACTAGTTTGTTGGCATAAATTGGCATAAGTAAAAAAAAATTCAAAAATCATTTCTGTTTGTAAGATCTTAATAAAGCTCACGTGAATAATAAACTGCTTCTTGATCGACGATAAGTTATCTATAACTAAAAGCCAAAATAGTTTCAAATAAAAATTGGTGTGATACAACCGATCAGTTTGGCCATGAAAATTACGTTACAATCATAATCTTGTGAGTATAACGAAAATTTCTAGAATCATAAACCGTCGCGGCAACTGTGCGACATAATAATAATGTGAACAAATCTTTCCAAAATAGCGTGCGCAAAATAATTAAAATAGGATTTCACACCCTAAAAAAACTAAGTTCCCAGAATAAATAGTAAAAAAGAACATGGTGATTTGATCACACAGTATAAAAAATCGAATTTTTTTTATTTAATTCTTTTTTTTTTAGTTCCCCTTTTCTGATATTTTTATTTCTTTCATTTTTATTCAAAAAAAAATAAAATGAAAAATAAAAATAAAAATCGCCGAAATTTAAATTTAATTAAGATCTAAATATTAAATATTAACTCCTACGATTTGAGTCGTAACTTGACTTTTTTGAAATAGTTCTTATTAAATCAAAACCATAAATTACTTATTTCATTGCTATATTCAAAAATTTCATAAAGTAATCATAATTCATAAAAAAAAAAATATCGTAATAACTAATGTTAAGAATTTAAACTTATATATACATGTATGTGCTTATTCTAAATTAATCATAAAGAGTGCCAATTTAAATTTGCTTCCAAATAAATATGCATTTTGCCAATTCAGATCGTTCCTCTTTTATCTATTCATTGAAGAAATTAATTCAGGAAAATATAAGTGCCTACTTGTGTAGTAGATAGCTTGAGGATGGATATCCTGTTGGTAATATTGATTTTGTTCTAAATCCAAAAATTTTTTCTCGTCAGCAATATTAAATTGATCAAATAGTGCAGACGGAATCGGATCATCACAAATGAGATTTACCCATCTTCCAAACAAATTATATAATTTGGATGCGGTTGGGCGTTTTAAAGGATCGGGATTCCAGCATTGTGTCATCAATTGAACGTAAGCATAAGGAGTTCCATCAATTATTTCAGGGCGAAAACCAGAACAAATTTCAGTAGCTAAACTAAGATCATGTGGTCTATTACCCCATGGCCGAATACCTACAGAAAGCGTCCACATGATAATTCCAAAGCTATAAATATCTGCAGCCTTTGTTGGTATATTTCCTTTTAAGATTTCAGGATCCGCGTAAGGAAGAACACCATATATTTCATTTGATTTTTTCTTATTTACTGGACCATTTAATTCCACGTCAACGATACGCATATATTCAGAACCTGATTCATTTTCAATTAACAAGTTACCTCCATGAATATTGCCATGAATCAATCCATTTTTATGAATGGGCTTAATCAATCCAGAAATTTCCTAAAGCAGCTCAACGATCTTCTTCCAACGAATCATTCCTTTTTTTTTATCCACATATGAATATAAGTCTTCATTATCATTATCTTTCAAAACAAACATATAGTTCGAAGTAAAATCTTTGGTTATTCCAAAAAAATCGGCAACATTCCCAAAATGTAATACCCGGTGGTATTCATAAGCTACATATAAATTTATTAAATGCTATTTAACTTTAAAAAGCAAATTTTGATCAACCAAATAAAAATTATGACTAACTTGATTCAAATATTCTTTACTAATATTTTGTGGATTGTTAAGTCTTTTAAGGGAAACATTTATGGGTCCATTGCGTGTCAACTGCTCCACTTCTTTGTCCCAAATCCATCGTGGACCTTCCATCCAAACTGCTGAAAATATTGTACTAAAGGAACCGCCTTTATTTGTATTTTCAACAAGGTCAAATTGTTTAATATCAATATATTCCAAATAATCTGCACTTTTAGTTGCATTTAATTGGTTATGTTTAATGAAATTTTTAATAAAAATATTATCAATTTTCCAATTTTTATAATTTTCTTTGAAGGCATTGATTTCACAAATTTTGCACCATTCAGCGCTGCTTTGTTCACGTGCACAATCTAAGCATTTACTAAAATTTGAATTGTATGTGCCATTCAATGATATTAAAGCAAAATCCGTAAAATCAGAATTTCTAGTTTGTTGAAATGACATCGGAATTTAAAAGTTGATCTTGTTGCAGATAATAAATTACAAATAATGGCTGATTTAGTTGCGCGAGCCTTTAAATATATTTTAGATGGTCATCATCCGGAAACCAAGATGCGGAATTTACAATGTCAATCTTTGACTGAAAAGATAGTGATCGACATTATGATATAAGGATAATTGTTAGGGGACTAAAACTGCGGTAAATTACAATATAGCGATAGTTAATTCGGGAGTTCTAAAGCATTTTTACCTCTATGGGTCTCCGATCGGTTAAAAAACATTTTTTGATGATAGAGCTTGCTGATTGACTAAAAATTTTTCATTGATAGAATAAAGAGATCGCTAAAATCACCATCGTCAAATTGATTACTATACTACTTTTTATTAAAAGGCGTCAAAATTTTCAAATGAAAAAAATTACCAATATTTATCACCTTCTAATTCTTACCACAATAAACACAACCATTCAATTTATTCTTTCTTGATCATGATGAAAGAATGCTATCAAAAAGATTTATGAATTTTATTCAACAAAAATATTGAATAACTTTTTACTGACGTTTCTTTAGCTGTTTCATTTAAAGGATTGAAGGGATAGTGTAGCAGAATATAGCTGATGTTGTTGCAACGATAAATTACTTGTTAAATTGGTAAAGGAGCTGGAATTGGTATTTGGCGAGGAGATATAATAAAAATAAAATTGAAAGAAAATCTAGGCCATTTATATTTAAATTGATAAAGATTTCGTCTCAATTGCTAGCCAATTGCATCCTCAACTAGGGTTGGTAAAATTCCTAATTGGTCCTGATTAATTTTATTTTTAATTAAAGTTACTTATTAAAATAAGTTTAAATTTCTTTTTAAAATTTAAAATTTCTTTAAATTTTAGACCTAGGATCTAGGTCCTAAGACCAGTTTCTAAATTAAATATATTTATTATTTTTAAAGAATTTTTTTATTTTAAATTAATAAAATAATTGATATATAAGATATATAATAATTATTAAAAAGAATAATTTATTATTAAAAAATTTAATTAGTATCGGTATATAAATTAAATTATTCTTTAAGACCAATTAGGACTTTTACCAACCCTATCCTCAACCTAGTTTCAAACTTCCATATTTTTAGATTTGGAACGATTTACATTTTATTTTTTCAAAGATACCTTTTCTCACCCACTTTCGATTAATTCTTATTGACCAAATCAAATATTAGTGACTTTGATAAATTCACACCACGTGACCTTAATAATTTGTCTTCCACGAGTATCACCACAAAAAGAAATTCACCCCAAAGTTTCCTTATGAATTTGTCACACCGGGTCACCTTTCATTTTTACTATTTTTTCTGGGAACAGAGAATTTTTCGATGGGAAAATACATAATATTTGTCAAATTGTTAATTTCGGCCATGTTCTATAATGCCGGCCAAAAGTTAGTGGGGGAGAAATTTTTCTGTGGCGGGATCCTGTATATAAATAAACATTTATTCAATATTTATTAAAAAATTTACCATTAAAAAATGAAATTATTTACTAGATATCCTTTTCTTAAACCTTTTAACTCTCTATCTTACTCAATCTTTTTCGATAGTCCAAATATAATATAACTTTATCTTAAATTTACCTTTCGGGAATTATCCAGTCAAATTTTTCGTTAATTTGGTAATCTTTGATTACGTGTCTCGTTGCGGTCAACGATTTCTAATCAAAATTATGTATTGACATAAAAATTAATGATAATTTTTTTTTAATTACTGATAAATCATTTTTTGAAAAAATCCAAAGAAATTTTTTTTTAGATGCTGTGCAAAAGTATTGCATTATTAATGCATGAAATCGAAATTTTTTCTTTAAAAAAAGCTTTTTACATATGAAAGGGACAAATATTAGAATGTTTTTGCAGAAATTATAAGAAAATTATTAAAAAGGATCAAATTTATTAAAGTGTGTAAATAACATCGATTTAGTAAGAAAATTCTATAAAAATTAATTTAAATAACAAGAGCTTAATTACGAAAAAAATTCAGTAATAATTTTTAAATGATAACACATATAGTTTTGAAGCTGATAGAGCACCCCAACGCCTCATCAATTAAATCCGAAAACAGTTTTATCAAATTAACTCTTTACTATCATTCTGTTGAATGATTTTACATAATAATGTTCAAAATAATAAAGCTCAAACTTTTATAATCCGAGCGTTTCTTCAGAGTTAAGCTGGGTCAAAAGCAATGCACGGTTTTTGCCACAATTACTATTTCATATTTTTGACTTATTTGTGTCACGTGAATTTATGTTGTTCCTCTCCTTCAAAATAACCACTATCCCTTTATAATGAGGGCTGGATTACACAAAAAACCACACGAACAGGAGCCTTTTGTATTATGATGATAAAACATCTTTGAGGGTAAATTTAGGCAATAATTCTTTTTTCTTGCAAAAAGTTTACTATTCATAATAAAAATATTTCATATGTATGGGTCAAAAGAGTTGTGTAATACAAACATACATGGCACAAAAAAAAATAATTTTAGAATCTTTGTAAATATTTATTGTATCACCAAATGATTTAAGGTTAAGTTGAGTTCAGAAAGTTGTCGATCTCATCAATTATAGTAATTTTTTTTGATACATATAATCTAAATATATCATTTTCATTTTTAGTATTGTTGTAAAATATTGAATAATTTTCGCATTGTTTTTAACAAGTAAATTTCTATATAAAAAATTATGTGTAGTTGTCAGATGATCGATAAAAAAAAAATAGATTTGCATGTTTGTTTTATATATTCTCACACCAGGTCCTAGATTTTATTTTGAATAACTGATTGAAAAAAAGAATTCAATCGGGAATTTTCTCATCTAAATTATCACTAAAGATATGTCGGTATTATCGGTATTATCCGAGAATTGGTTCAAATTTTATCCTTTGGACAATCTGTATGAATAAAAACAGGGTAAATTGTTTCCTTTAATAATTATGAGTAAATTAAATGTTTAATATAAGTAAGTTGAAAATCAAACCGGATTATTACCACATGCATTATGATAATCCTTACCTTAATTTCTTAATTTGTTAAACAAGGAAAGTACGTCAAAAATTTAGGTCAAATATGAAAGTGTGCTTTATTTCATTTCGTTCGTAATTTCTTGTGTCACTGAATCTTATTTCTTTGTTGCAATATTCCTTTTTAGTAGAAGACATGATCATGTTCTATGAGACCGCTAATTTAAGTCAAACGTTACAGATGTAACTGTAACTATACATTTGAAAAGTGTCACAATATATAATATTATAAACATATGATTTTTCGTTATAATTATTAATTAGTAATATTGCATTAATTGTTTCTAAAAAGCGAATACTACAATTACATAAAATTCTTAATATGAATAATGCAGGCAATTCGCGCTCATGCATAAAGATATATATTTAGAGCATACTTGATGGTAGACAACGGGTAACGTAAGATAAGGCTAAATGACTCCATGAAAAAAAATTATAAATGTGGCCTGATTCAGGTCCTTGCAAATTTTTTTTGAGCAGTCAAGTTCTTATTGAATTTTAATTTATAATATCAAAACTACAATGTAAATTTTTTTGTAAAAAAAAAAAAATTCCAGATCTTGAATTCGGATAAAATCAATATTAAACACGTCATTTCTAATTAATTAAGCGAACCAATCCAAGAATAACTGGTACGCAATGTTTATGTATAGAAATTCGAAAGAGCATCAAAAGAATCATGCTTTCCAATATAATTTAATAAAATCAATAAATAGATCAATATAATTAACAATTCTTTTTATCGTACATAATATACATTTTTAAAAGATTTCGGGAAAGTCCTTCGTGAACAATTATAAACAATATTCATAACCTGATTATTGATAATAAGGTGATTACGATACGGAGCCGATTTTTTATAATTTTTTTTAAAAAAAAGTAATTTCGGTATAAGAAAACAATATAATGCAAAGTTTACCATAAAAATTATCTAATATTGTTGGAAACAAAACATTTTAAGGGGCATGAACACATGACAAAAATAAATATATTTTTATGATTAGTGTAAAAGGGGAAAATTATAGTTTCTAAATAAAGTAATTCATTTATAAAATGATATTAAAATGTAATGTATATAAATACAATTGATGCAATACTTCTTTCTCCCTTCATAGAAGGCATTTGTAAAAAAAAAAAAAAAAAAAAAAAAAAAAATGAACCAACAAAACTCCTTTGATAAACCCGTTGTAACTAAATTAAAAAGGGGGAGAAAAGCCTTTTCCGTAAACGATGACCATATAGACCTAACTGGAAAAACTCATATTATGATGGTCAAAAGGTCAAATCCTCCAACGCCAAAAAAGAAAGTTCCAAAGGCTCCAAAGGCTCCAAAAGTCGTAAAACAAAGCAATAATTATTGCAGAAGATGTGAGCAAAATGATGAATATCTCGACGTCATTAATGATCGAATTGAAACATTAGAAAGTTTGGTAAACAAGTTAACCAATACGGAAATATACAATAATAATATATCTAAACCTTTGTCCAATATTGGAATAGAGAATCTTGTTAATTTATCTAATCAAATTCATATCGAGCTATTTCAAAGATTTGAGATGCACAATCAATTGCAATTACAAACTCAGATTGCAACTCCTATAACTAAGTTAACACCGCCTCAATCTATTAATCAGTGTTAATAATTACAATACAATTATACATCATCGTTATTTTATACAAAATCGATAAATGATCCTTTTTTTTAATTCGCTTCCATTTATTTTTTTACTTAGAAGATATTTTTTTTTTCTCTCGCATATTTTGTAAATTTCATGTTTCGTTATATATAGTATCAACTCATAAGGTATGCTTTTTACATTTTTTTACATATGTACTATAAGTTTAAGATTCACGGTCAATATCTAAGCTAAATAAATATATACACACAAGAAGAAACGGTAAACGTATATATGATCATTTTTGCCGATCATTTTAAATTTACTTATTTCTGTAAAAAACATTTATGCAACTCTCAATGATCATACATCACTTAAAAGGGAGTACTGTAGATCAGTATATAATCCCCCTTTAAAAAATAGATATAGAAATTTGTTCTTATAATATATTATTTATACTAAGTTTGTATAAAAACAAAAGTCTTATAAATTTTCTATTTTTAAAGGTAGTATAAATATTGAAATTTAAGGTTATCATTAATCTAAAAAATTTTAAATAATATCAAAATAATAGTAAATTAATGATTTATTTAATAAGAAAAAAATTTTTTAATATTTTTAGCTTTTCTTTTAATTATTATGATAAATATAATCTTATATTTTATTATTTAAAATAAAGAATAAATAAAAGTTTATTTATAAAACTTTAAATTTACTAATATATATTATAGCTTTTACATATTAGTATAATATTTTAAAATTAAAAAAACTAGAGAAATATTTGAATAATATTTTAATGAAATATTTATTAATAATAGTTAAAAAATTTAAATTTAAAACTTGGTTTTATATATAAATTAGTATGATAATTTCATCATTTTGACATTTCACTATAGAAATTTTAGGATTTTAATATAGATTCATTAAAATTTTGGTATTTTAACATATTAGCAAGTAAAGCAACCCTTTCTTTTCTTTAATTTTTCCAGCAACCTTAATAAATATAATATTTTTTCTTAATTATTATTAAATTTTATTTATTAAAATTTTTAAATAAGATTATTTATTTATTATTTTAATAGCTTTTCTTTAAAATTAAACAAACTTTAATTATCAAGTATGTGTTTGAATATAAAATGGCTTTGATTATTAATATCAATAAAATATACTTCTCTCTTTCTTGACAAGCTACTATTAAAATAAATCTGACTCAGTTACTAATAAGAAGAATAATTAAATATTAAATATACTATAGTTAAGATAAGAATATTTATTTAGTTAGAGTTATATTTAAGGTTAGAATAGGTAGAGTAAGAAATTGAAAAAATACAGTATTTTCATAAGTTTAAGTATTAGAAAAAGAGTAAGGTTGCTTGTCTAAACTTATTTTAGATTTGGTTAAATATTTAAACCTTTAGTTTCATTAAATTTACTAAGTATTTAATATAGTTTAGCTATCGTTATAAACTTTGATATAGTTTTACCTTTTTTTAAATCTTGCAGATTTTTTAATAAGGTTTTAATATAATTTAACCAAGTTTTACTTTTACTATTTAGACGAATATCAAAACTCTTAATTTCATTTAGTAACCTTAGCTAAGAGATTAGAATAAGATGTAAAAAAAATGTTTAGTAATTTAGAGTTCATTTTAAAGATAAAGAATTAAGAAAGAATATAAAAAAAGGATGGTGTAGTTTTAAGATTAATATTAGGATTCAGAAACTAGTAATAATAATAAAATAATAAGTATTATTGTATATTTAATAAATCATATGATTTTATTAGTCATATAATACTGATGATAAATACTAATGATGATAAATAAAAACTTCTAAATATTATATTTATAATTAAAATACTTTTATTTTATATTTAATAAATCTTTTATAATGTTATTATAAAAAAAAGGAATTTTAATGCAAAAAAAATATATTTAATATATAGGTAATATGCTATTAAAATTGAGATTCAGATCATATGATTTACTATGTTTTGTATTTCAATTTTAATAGTATATCATCCAAGTTTTAAAAAAAGTATTCTTTATAAATTTTTTAATTTATTGTTAGAAAATTATAATACTTTTATTTATAAATAATACTTTGTTATAGAAAGAAGAAAAATTAACAGTAAAAATCAATTTTATATTTATATACCAAATATGATTTTTAAGTCAAAAAATATTTAAATTTAATATTAAAATATTAACTCATTTTTTTTTTAGCAGCTTTCTTTCTTTCTATTACAAAGGCTTCATATATAAATATAATTTAAAATTAAAATTTATTAAAAAATTAATTATTAATATTATAAAAAGTTTGAAAATATAATATATATATATATATATATATATCTTATAGAAATAAATATATTTAATTAAATAGAATAAAAGCTAGAAAAATAGTTTTTTGAAATTTTTAGTTAAAATCAAAATATTTATTTCAAATTAATTTTATATACATAAGTATTAATTAGTTAAATTTTTATAATATATTAACTTAATAGAAAAATTATATAAATTGTATTTGATATCAAAATTTTATAAAGATATCTTTTTTAAGATATTACTAATTATTATTTAAAATCTATGATTTATATAATCAATATATTAGAATTTTTATATAAAATTAATATAATTTAATTATTTATTTTTTAAATTAAAAATAAAAATATTCCATTTTTTATCTAACTGCTTAATAATATTTTATTAATAAGGCTAATTTTTACAGTTCAATTAATAGTCTAGAATGATAAAGATTATTTTTCTATATCATATTTCAAATATAAAATTAATAGTATTTTATTAATAATGCCTTTTGTAATCTATTTTAATATATTTCTTAAAAATTTAAAGAACTTTAAAACTTTAAATGATTTTAAAAATCTATTAAAATTTAATTATAAGCAAATAATTAAATCTTAAATTTGTTGTAATTAAAAATAGTATTATAACTGATTTGAAAAATCTACAACTGGCTGCAATTTAGGTTACAATCTAAAAGTTGAAATTAGTTTAAACTTTAAGTGATTTAATAAATTACTACAATTAGTTTTAGAATGTTAAATTTAACATTTTTATAGCTTACGTAATAATCTACAAATTAATATCTGATTTTCTAAGACTTATATTTTGTTGCTTAAGAATTTTATGTAATGATTTGTATTTAATATTTATATTATCATTAAGATTCAAAAAGGTTTATAAAGAGCTGTATATAATATTATAAATATAAAAAAAAGTTTATTGTAATATGAGGTCTTTACAATAGAAAAAGGAAAATCTATTAGAAAAAATTAATTTATTTTTATATATTAAATACAGTCTAACCTTGATATAGCGAACTCTTAATATAGCAAATTTTTAAATCAAATATATTAAAATTACCTTTACTATAGTAAACTAGCCAATTAAATTCTTTAAAAAATTTGTTATAAGCTTATAACGAAGTTGATATCCAGATCTTAGAATTCGTTA